TAGTATTGTCTTTTCTTGAGTACTGTATGTCTGGACTGTTGGGGATTTGGAACTCATTTGTTTATGTCTTGTGACAACCAAATACCCATCGATTGCCAGAAGAATGACTCCAAATATCAATAAAATGATAAATAATAGCAGTTCTGCGATGAAACTGATACTTTTGGTGAGATCTAATGGACAGTCATATGCAGTCATTTTCTCTATTTGGAAACACTTTAAGCATATAAACAATATATTGCTTTTCTATAAATTTTATATAAATATTAAATAAATTTATTGCGTTATAAAATACCTTTTGAGAGAGAAAGGCTTCAGGTGTGAAGCAATACATGGGTCGGCCGTTGATATTAAACCAAAGCATATATCCCTTGGTATTTGGGTCTAAATCGTAGTCAACGATTGCCTCCAATTGTGTCAGCAATTCATCGCTCAACTTATCCACAAATAAGGGTCGGCGACACTTGTTTTGCTTGCATTCGCTTTCATTGATCAGTTTAATAGTGAATGAATTTCGGTCGTCTGACTTATGATTTTCAATATACCAAACTTCAAATACTTGTCTCAAGAATCGGTTCTTTGTGTCCAAAACTGTGAAATAATCGCGGCGTCCGATGTTATCAATCGGCGCTACCGATGGACTAAACACGATCGACATCGGGTTAAACTGGTCACTAGTCTGGCCCTGTATGCCATTATAGTTCGTGCATATGGTCTCAATCTCTCCGGTTGGGGGAAACTTTTGATCAGCAATAAAAAGTACATTATTTAAATAATTTTTATAATTACCTTATAATGCATTTCGCAGTAAATGTTTTTGATTTGTAACGAAATTAAGGACGAAACAAATGCGCCCCAAAAACTGTGTAGCGGTTGTTTGCCTGTAGTTATTGTGTACTTTTCTTTGACAGTCGAGTGGTTTGTAAACACCAATAGTCTATTCTTGTGGTCCCTCTTTATAGTGAACTCCCACTCCATTCCCTTTAAATACATTTTATGCACAGAATAAGCAGTTTTATTACTGCGAGACCACTGCCACTCTCTTTGCATTTGAATGCCATGATATGTGCCATTCGTATGCATCAAATCACAAATGATTTGATTGCATTCAATACAAACAATTGCATTCATTATGAATAACAAAATTGCAAACATTTTTATTTGTCTCTAAGTATCTTCGTTTGAATATACTTTATAGTAATTTAAATAAAACGTTATACTATTTGCTTGATTGCAAATTATTAACAATAAATTCAAACACATATTTCTCGTAAATTATATAATGGTATTGAAATAAAATTAAATGAATTTTTTGTTTGATTGATAGCAATAATTGTAATAAAATTCTTAATGAATACAAAAAAATAATGTTAATTAAAACATTGATATTTTGAATTGTTTTTTAGTTTAATAAAGATAAAATCTTAAGCATTTTAAAACTTTAATAATATATTTGTCATAAATTTATTGATCTCTTGTATTTATTTCAATCTATGGATCAATTAATTACAATCTCTTCCGATCGTTAGTTGAGATATCTTTTGTGTCAACCGTTGATACGGAAGGTTTGGTAAATATAGTCTTTTCTTGAGTACTATATGTTTGAACATTTGGATATTTGGGTCTAATTTGTGGTCTTTTGAGAGCCAAATACCCATCGATTGCCAGAAGAATAACTCCAAATATCATCAAAATGATGAATAATACGAGTTCTATAATAAAACTTTCGGTGGGAATCACAACCGGTGGATCAGTTGGTATTCCACAGTCATATTCAATCAAATTGTCGGTTTGGTAACACTTTTAACACATAAACAAGTTTTTCAGTTTTATATAAATATTAAGTAAATCTATTGATTAACAAATACCTGTTGAGAGAGAGACTAGTCTTCAGGTGTAAAACAATACTTGGGACGACCGTTCAGATTGAACCAAAGCATGTGTCCCCTCATATCGGGGCCCAAATTGTAGTCAACGATTCCCTCCAAATTATTTAGCAAATAATAACTCAATTGATACTCAAATGTCGGTCGTTCACAGGGATTGTTTGGATGATAGCATTGGGTCTCATTTCTAAACTCAATTCTACATCGAGAAAGAATATCAATACCAATAGCAATATACAGTTTTCTCGATGGCATTTTTGTGTCCAATAATATCATATATGGCATCCGTTTACCGGCGTCCATAACCTTTCCATTGAATATAATAGTCTTTGGGTTAAACTGATGGTTACTTTTACACTCATTCTTCTCCTCATTAGATTCGCATTTGGTCTCAACAGTTGCAGAGTTTGGAGCCTTTTATACGATTGTAATAAATAATGTGTAATTTATGCATCATTTAAAATATATTATAATTACCTTATAATGTATTTCGCAGTAAAAATATTTTTTATCTCCGTATCCCAAATTTAGATATGTACTAAATATGTTTAGCGGTTGTGTGCCGTATGCTCTATACAACGGCCCAACACTTGAACTGTTCATCACTACCGATGGTGTCTTGTTTTGGTCCCTCTCTATAGTGAACTCCCAATTCATTCCCTTTGTGTACATTCTATACTTAGGTTTGGCTTCAATGGGATAATCGACGAACATTTGAACGCCAGAATATTTGCCATTCGTATACATTAAATCACAAATGTTTTGATTGCATTCAATACAAACACTTGCATTCATTATGAATAACAAAATTAGGATCATTTTTAATTTTTCCATTTCTTTCGTTTAAATACACTTTACTTTAATTTAAATAAAACGTTAGAGTATTGGTTACTCTCTTTAAAATGATTAATTGTAAATAAAATATTTTAAAATAAATTCAAATATAAATATCTCGTTAAATTAAATAATAATTTTTAACCAATTGATTTATTTTAAATTAATTATTATATTTAACCAAATGTTTAGTGAGATAACATTGTTTATTGTCTAACTCGAAGTAAATTATATACCTATAATATACCTTATATTAAGTACATAATTTTATGTACATGAAAATTACTATTAAACAACATAAGTAACCATTATACAAATATAATTAAAACATAATTTAATTGCATTATACTAATTATTATTTAATAGATCAATGGATTTATCAACTAGAACCAAATAAGTCAATTAATTCTAATGCTAAATATGTTTTAATAAAGACAACACAAATACTAATGTATTTATAGATTTTGCAATTGATTTTTATTTAATTAATATCAATAATTCTTATTTTGGATTAATTTTTTAAAAGTAAAACGCTTGGTTTTATTTGTTTTTGTGAACACTAGGGGTAACCGAAGTCATGGCTTTTGGTTACAATTTCTTAGAAGAGGAGCTATTTTTGGTGCTAACCGTTGATACGGAACGTCTCGGCGTTTGTATTGTCTTTTCTTGAGTACTGTATGTCTTGACAGTTGGATAATTGGATCCAATTCTTTGATATCTTTTACGAATCAAATATCCATCGATTACCACAAGAATCACTCCAATTATCAACAAAATAATCAATAGTATGAGCAGTACTTCTGTAGAGATGACACTTTGTGTGGGAATCATATCAATCGGTCGATCAGTTGTCGGTTTTAATAGACAATCAGAGTATGCAATCATTTTATCTTCTTTTGAACACTTTATACATATAAACAATACATTATTTTCTTACAATTTAGACAAATTTATCATGTAGTGAATACTTGATTTGATAGTGTTTGACCCTCGGTTGTGAAGCAATAGCGGGGCTGACCATCGATGTTAAACCATAGCATATGTCCCGACATATTAGAGCCCATATTGTAATCAACGATACCCTCTAATTGTTTTAGCAAATCATCTTTTAATTGATCCACGAATGCCGGTCGTCGACACATGTCGTTATAACAGTCGCTACCACTCCTTAGTTCAAGATTATATTGAGGTCCATATGAATAATAAATATCAAAATACATATTAATCGATAGGTTGTATGTATCTAATATTGTCATATATGCTCTGATATCATCATAACTTTTCACAACCGTTGGTCTGAATACAATTGATTTTGGGTGAAATTGTTGTTTAGTTTCGCACTCATCCTTATATAAATTAGATCGGCATTTGATTTCAATGGTTTTGTCATTTGTTTGCGGAGACTTTTAACACATAATAAATTTTCATATTATTATATTAAATAATAAAATATATCATAATTACTTTATAATGTATTTCACAGTAAAAACATCTAATTCGTGGGTTTACACGGGTGTCTACAAATGTGGAAAATATATTTACTGGTTGTTTGCCAGACATTGTATACAACGGCCCAACAGTTGAATTGTTCATCACTACCGATAGTGTATTGTTTTGGTCCCTCTCTATAGTGAACTCCCAATTCATTCCGTTTGTGTACATTCTATACTTGGAATTAGGTGCTGTTGAGTTCAACCATGGCCAATCATGAAATATTTGAACGCCATTATATATGTCATTTGTATACATGTAATCACATATGGAGTGGCATTTAATGCAAAGAATTGCATTCATAATAAATAACAAAATATGTGCCATTTTTATTTTTCTCTAAATTTCTTCCGTTTAAATATACTTTTCTGTAAATTAAATAAAACGTTAAACTATTCGTTACTCTATTGCAAATTATTAACTGATAATGATATTTTTAACAATAAATTCAAACATTTATTTAAAATTTTAAATTATTTATCAAATTCTACTCAAATGTTTAGTGAGATTACATTGTTTAATGTCTAACTCGAAGTTCTGTAAATTATATTTGACTACATTACCCTTGTAAGTTTTTAATAACAATTGATTATTTAGCAAATCTACTTACATAGTTTTATGTACATGAAAATAATTATTAAACAACATAAGTAGTCATTATACAAATATATTTAAAGCATAATTAATTACAATTTGTTTTTGTAGAACATTCATATTTATTACCATAATAGAAAGTATCTCCATTTAAATACACATGCATATCAGTAATAGTACTCAACATAGCCTGAACCCCCTCTCCCACACCTCCCTTTCCCTCTCAGTTTGAATGGTCATCATTTGTGATTAAAACTGTTCGCTCAGCAATTGATCCCAGAAATTAAAGCAATTATTAACGGGTGTCGGCTGTGATCGATGCTTGTGTCCGGACGAGCCTCGCGTGCCATCGTAGCCGTCGTAACCGCGTTGGCCCACCCGTCCCATCAGTCGCTCGTTTGCGTCAAACTCCATGTACTTCACGTCAACCCTATTCTCATCGCTATTCCACTCGTATTCGGGCCAAACATTGCCATTCATATCGAGAACTTCGCTAAATAAACACACATTTATTAAAACACAATACAGTCGAACACCGATTATAGCGGAACAGCAGCAAAAAAACTCACCCGGATTTAGCGAAATGAGTCCAAACATCCATAACGTGTTTGCTTAGACGGCGATCCCTATCGCTCCACAGGAGACGCTCGTAGGGCTTGAATGGGAGGCCAAACACCAGCGGTAGCTCATCGGTGTGGGACACGTCGGCCCACGTGCTATAACTGGCCAACGATTGGGTGGAGCCGTACTTAAGCCTATACTGGAATACTTTGCCGGTGAAAGCGGGAGCTCTGACAGCGTAGGCGCCAAACAGGATCGTCGGACAGGTGAGCGCGTAATCGCCAAACATATGCACAGCCGACTGGCGTATGGGCGTCGGGTTCAATTGCAACCGTAGCCGCGAGTTAAACGGGTCGGTGTATTGGGCGGCCACTCGCCCGGCGATTGACTTGTTGTGAACCAATACATTCTGGATGTCGTTAAACACTATGGATTGGCTGATGAGCGGCGGCCGCGGCACGAATGGCAGGTACCGTCCCATTAGGCCGCTGTACAGGTCGACCAGAGTGGTAATGATGGCGCCCTCCATCTCGTTGTGACCCAACACTATAGTGATGTCGCGGCGAAAGTCACCCGCCTTTACGGCCGTCATCACCGGTCGCGGCAGGAATTGGTCGCCAAATATGGGCTTAAAATATGTGGACAGACCCACAGTTATCCACGGGTCGCGCGGCAGCCATCGCAGCCCCGACTGGGTTTGCGCCCATAGCAGTTGCTCAGCAGTCTTTTGTCGCAAACATTGTACCCAATGAATGTCGTCGCCCTCTGATGTATAGCACGACCCGTTGTCTGGCCATAGACTGGCGTCTGTAGCGAATCGACGGCCAACTCTGTACGAGTAGTCCACGTCCTGTTCCCACATCTTGTTAAAAGCCGAGCCTTTATTACAACACCAATACGTTGGGCGAAATTGTAGTAAATAAATAAAAATTGTTAATACACTTAATTAACATAAATATTTTGCCAATAAACATGTCAAGTAAATAGTCTTGATAATAATTGGTTAAATAATTATCTTGATATTAAAGTTAATAACTTTGCACATTACTTTTCTTACAATTTCTATAAATAATGATGTGGGTAAAAGCGATCTACTGTAGAGCAAACATTATTCTAACAAATAATAATGAATGTCATAAATACCTGATTGCATGATAACTCGTTGAAACCAATTACGGGTCACATTGGAGACCAAGTGTTTGCTGATGGATATACTGCCGGCGCTCTCCCCGAACAAAGTGATCCGTTGGGGGTCACCGCCAAAGAGCCGGATGTTTTGCGTCGTCCAATTCAATGCCATACTCTGATCCCAGAGACCCATATTTCCCGGCGAGTGACTCGAGTTGGCGTAGAGAAAGCCAAACACACCCAAACGGTAGTTAAAATTGACCACGATCACGTCGCGCAGCGCCAACACAGCGCCCCCGTAAACGTTGCTTATGGAGAACGTGTCGACCAGCGCCGGGTGCCCGGAGCCGATGGTAAAGCCGCCGCCGTGTATGTACACCATTACCGGCAGACCCGCTGTCTTGTTCACTGTTGGCGTCCATATGTTTAGATACAGACAGTTCTCCGATGTGTGGCCCGACGTAGGGATTGGTTGCATACATGCCTTCCCATAGGAGGTACAGTCGACGAGAGTTGGCTCTGAGCCGTAATCCACTGGTTGTGGGGCCCGAAAACGGAGAGCACCCATAGGCGGCTGAGCGTACGGTATGCCCTGTTATTTATTACATTCATAAATTACTTAATTTAGTTAATAATAATATTAACATTTTTTAAAACTATTAATATTTTGATTAATTAATTATAAAATCAATATTTATTTTTGTACCACTATAATTAATATAACATGAGTAATTGGTAACAACTTGTTCAAATAAAACTGTTCTATTAAAATTAAATAATTATAATTAGTTTTGTACAAACTACAATAGTTGTAAATTCCCGATTAATGTACTAACAATACTGTACTGTACAGTACATTAATTAATATAAAATGTACTCACTTTGAAAACATGTATTGTTTTATAATTGGTTTGATTGTTATCTTTCGATGAGAGACTGTCAGCAGGTATTAAATATTTGCATCCCTTATACCAGACATTATTGTTGGCCACAATTGATTGGCAATCTATTCGTTCAAACACTGTATAAATAGTGTAAGAGTGAGTGAGTGAGAGTGAGTGAGTGAGAGAGAGAGAAAGAGAGAGAGAGAGAGAGAGAGAGA